ATATATATATATATATATATATATATATATATATATATATATATATATATATATATATATATATATATATATATATTAACAAATCTTTTAGCTATTACAACTAAATAACTTTGCTATGAAAGCAAGAAAATTTGCTCTTGCAGTTAATATTTTTAGTTGTCCATATATTAGTAAATCTTTTTTTTCGTGCTTGTTATTGTATAACTAGATTTCAATATATGATCAATTAAATCCCGCCAGCGTCTAATAATTTTTCCTGACGATATCCACAGTCCACAGCTCGGTAAAACGATACAATCGTCCACCTTTCAACGCTGGATTACAAAATAAACGTTTCTTTGGAATAGTCCAAACAAATTATTTGGTTGACACAACAAAAATATTTCTTTGGAACTAAGCCGCAAATAAATATTTTTGTTGCGTCAAGTAAAATTTTGTTCAATCAATCAAAATATTCGTTTGAACCAAAGATGTGTTTATTTGATTCAACCAAATCGTTCTCTCTGTGTACTTTCAGCCTCACTATTTCCATTTTGACACTAAAGAAAGTAAAAAGGAAAATTTCGGACTTTATCAGAGTTAAAGTAAGGATCGATTGTCATTGGAATTAAATCTACTTTGCTAACTTAGCTCTTGTTGCGTTGTAGAATTCAAGGTTCTGACGTTGTGTTAATCGGAAATCAAATTACATGAGTTGCGTCGTGAGATCGCGTTCTCGCGCGATTTTCTCAATAAATAGAAATTCACGGACGAGTAGTCCATATAATGGGCAGCCATTGAAAGGGTACTTTATCGCGGTTTTTCATTGTAACATCAAGTCATTTATCATTCTTGCGGCAGTTCTTTGAATCAATCTCGTGCGAAACTGTATCGCGAGAAAAGAGACGTGGAAAAAAAGCAAAAAAGAAAAAAAAACAGATAATAAACGCGTGTCCAGCTATCGTCTTACATACTGTAAAATATGCAGCATTGTTGGATGTTTTGTTTACATAAACGCATGTGAATTATGTTACATAATTACGACAAACGTTCAACGACGAGACGCATTGTGATGTATTCTATTGAGGAAAGAATCGCACGGCAATTTTCCGTTTAACCTTTTGAGTTATGTAGTGAAACGTCTCGTCTATTTTTCTTCACTTTAAAAATCAGATATCACTAAAAACTAACTTACCGACAGACATGGTCTATTATATTATATTGTTATACAGTTTCATAAACATGAGGAATTAAAAATGAGTAAAGAATAATGTTAATGTTCAATTGTTAAATTATTATGAGCAAATAGGGGTAAAAAAGACATTTTTTCAGATAAAAATCGTTTTAGAACTATCAAGAATCGAGACATTAACAGTTTATTAAGGACAATTTACAAAATATTTATTCAAAATTTCTTTTAAACCGCATTTTTTTGCAATAAACTATTGAGATATTGATGATATGTTTGCTGCAAGTTTTTCTTGTCAACAACGCAAACGCCTCTTTTTCGTATGAAGAAAATCGTCATTGTTATTTCCGGATAATGCCAAAAGGGAGATTGCTAATTTAAAAAATTCATGGTCGCCATATTGGGTTTGCCATTTCGAATTTTATCCTTTTGATCTCAAATTTATAATCAGCGACCTCGAAATATGCTAGATTTGAAAAAATTTGATCGAGAAATAAAATGCAGGGTTAATCGATTGCCTTCGCGACATGTTCTTTAAGTGTCGAGTGAAAAACTACACGATGCAAGCGTGAAAACGGCAGCGTGCTACGACCTCAATTCTCGATTGCATACCTTGAGATAACGATATTGAACAAGAAATTGAAGTGGATACTCGAATCGTAAACAAATTTCAACGGACTACACGATTTTTACGAGCTATGCAAATATGAGCTCTTCACCGAACTCTGTTGTTTGGGCTGATAACAGAAAGCAAAACGCTTAAATAATAAATACCTAGTGTTTATCGCAAAGCCGCAACAAGTTCCTATCTTATCGACGGACAAGTGAAACCACACCGGCCACGCATGCTTTCATTATACGACGCTTTAAATCCCTCTCGATAGATCGCGACCTGCTCGCCGCTCGCGAGAAGAACGCGGAAAATTTGCGGATCGCCCGACAGCTCTTCGGTGTAACTCAACGCAAATTCTTCGAGTCATTCTTTTTTTTTTGCAAAAAGGCCGGCCTCTGAATGAACTTTTATATATATATATATATATATATATATATATATATATATATATATATCATTTCTTCTTTCATTTCTGTCGATTGAAAAGTGTTTCCCTCAATTCATTTTCGACGCAATTATTTTTGCGTGCAGAAATACAAGCGGATTCGAATTCTAAGTATAGGTAAAATTTAGTCAGACCAATTTTTCAAACACTACCATTCTTGAAAACAAGTGTCTTTTTATTACAACTTCTCTCAACTTTATTCTTCTACATTTACATGACTTCATTCTCTTACATTGAAGTAATCATTGTATCTTTCTTGCAATTGCCTCAATACAGCTGAATGTTTCGCGAAATAGACTCACGTGCGAGAGTCTCGAGCGGAAGTGGCGAGTCGTCAAATGGAAAATTCTGCATTCCGTCGTGTTGGCGTGTGCCTCATTTTCTATTCGCCGGCAATTACTGCCGGCTGACTGTTGGCGCTCGCCCGCTTGTTTCCACGCGATTAGCATCGGCCGTTAATGTTATGTGCGTTTGAAAAATTGCGCCCTAACGATTTCGATGATCATCGCGATAATACGTCGGCCGCTCATCGGCGTGTGTTTACGCGTGTCTATTCTTCCTTTAGCACGGAAAGAACGCACTTAATTGCATATCAATAACACCTTCGTCATCATTCTTCTCCCGGGCTATTAATTGTCCGAGCAACCGACAGGATTATTCCTGGAAGGAAGGATGCTTCCTTCA